ATTTCTTAAAACGTTCCTTTAATCATATATTTGTGACCTGGTCCTGAAGGAAGAAGTCCAAGGTGCACTGAAGGCACTGGCAAACACCAAGGCTCTGAGAATTGATGGAATACAAATTGAAATCTCTCAACAAACGAATGCAGCACTAGACTAGAAGTACTCACTCATCTATGCCAAGAAATACCTGACCAACTGATGGGAAGAGATTCATATTTGTGCCCATTCCAAAGAGAGGTGACACAATGGAATGTGGAAATCATTGGACTATATAATTAATGTCTCATGCAAATAAAATTTGCTAAAGATAATTCAAAAGGCTGCAACAGTACATTGACAGGGACTAACAGAGGTTCAGACCAGATTCAGATGAGGATGCGGAATGAGGGATATAATTGTCGACGTCAGCTGTATCTTGGCTGAAAGCAGAGAATACCAGAAATGTGTTTACCTGTGCTTTGTTGACTTTGTAAAGACTTTCTAATGTGTGGATCATGACAAGCTATGGCCAATATTGTGGAGAATGATTATTCCAAAACACTTACTTGTGCTCAAGATAAACCTGTACACAGACCAAGAGGCAATTGTTTGAGCAGTACAAGGGGAAACCGGATGTTTTTAAAATCGTGATAAATGGAGAAAAGACTGAAGTTGTCAAAGACTTCATTTTACTCGGCTCTGTCATCAACACTCATGGAAGCTGCAGTCAAAAAATCAAATGACATACTGCATCAGGCAAGTCAGCTGCACAAAATCTCTTTAAAGTGTTGAAGAGCAAAAAAGGTGTGCTTGACCCTAGCCATGGCATTTTCAGTAACCTCATATACATGTAAAAATTGGGCAGTAAATAAGGCAGACCACAGAAGAACTGATACATTTGAGTATGGTGTTGGAGAAGAATATTGAAAGTCCCATGGACTGCTAGAAGAACAAACAGATCTGTGTTGAAAGAAATGCAACCAGAATGCTCCTTAGAAGCCAAAGTGGCCAGATTTGATCTCCCATACGTCAGACGTGACAGGAAGGACCAGTTCCTGGAGAAGGACATCATGCTTGGTAAAGTGGAGGGTCAGAGAAAGAGGAAAACCCCCAACGAGACAGACTGGTACAATAGCAGCAGTAATGGGTTCAAGCGTAACAAGGATTGTGGGTTGGGCCAGCATCTGGCCGTCTATTGTTCTGTTGTGTGTAAGTTCGCGGTGAGCTGGTATTGACTCAGTGGCACCTAACAATGGGCAAAGTATTGATCGATGCAGAAAGCATCAAAATAAGATGGAAGGAATGTATAGAGTCATTATACCAAAAATAAATGGTCAACGTTCAACCATTTCAAAAGGTAGCATATGATCAAGAGCCAGTGATACTGAAGGAAGAAGTCCAAGCTTCACTGAAGGCATTGTCAAAGAACAAAGCTCCGGGAATATATGGAATACAAATTGAAATCTTTCACCAAACTGGGACAGCACTAGAGAAACTCATCTATCCCAAGAAATTTGGATGACAGCTTCCTGGCCAACTGTTTGGAAGAGAACCATATTTTTGCCCATTCCAAAGAGGTGACCAAATGGAATGGTGAAATCATTGAACAATATCATTATTTTATCATGCAAGTAAAATTTTGCTCAAGATAATTCTAAAATGGCTACAATAATACATTGACATGGAACTGCCAGAGGTTCAAGCCAGATTCAGACAAGAATGTGGAATGAGGGATATAATTTTTGACATCAGATGGATCTTGGCTGAAAGGAGGGAATACCAGAAATATGTCGACCTGTGCTTTATTGACTAAGCAATGACTTTCGATTATGTGGATCATGACAAGCTATGGACAGCATCGCAGAGAATGAGTATTCTGGAACACTTAATTATGCTCCTCAGGAACCTGTACATAGACCAAGAGGCAGTTGTTGGAACAGAAAAAGGAATATTGAATGGTTTAAGATTAGGAAAGGTGTGTGCCAGGGTTGTATTATTTCACACTGCTTATTTAATCTGTATGATGAGCAAATAATCTGAGAAGCTGGATTATATGAAGAAGAACAGGATAACAGGTTTGGAGGAAGACTTATTAACAACTTGCATTCTGCAGATGATACAGCCTTGCTTGCTGAAAGTGAAGAGGACTTAGAATACTGACTGATGAAGATCAAATACTACAGCCTTCAGTATGGGTTGCACCTCAATGTAAACTAAAAAAAAAAAAAATCTCATCACTGTACTTCTTCCAACACAAATCTGTGTTGAGAATAGTATAACCAGACTTATCTTCAGAAACCAAGATGGCAGGACTTTAGGACATACTATCAGGAGTGACCAGTCCCTGGAGCAGGACATCAAGCTTAGTAAAGTGGAGTGCTAGGGAAAAAGAGGAAGACCCCCAATGAGACGGAGTGGCACAGTGGCGGCAGCAATTGTCTCTGGTGTAGCAGTGATTGTGAGGCTGGTACATGACCGGGCAGGGGTTCATTCTCTTGTCATAGGGTCTCTGTGAGTTAGTACCAACTTGACTGCATGTAACAACAGCAAAAATAACACCATGATTCATTGCAGGATTTGTTACAGGAAAGGATACAAACCAAAATGAACAAATGGAAAAGACCCAAGGGGTGAAGTCAGGGAAAACCAGGTGTGAGGCCCCAAGTGGTGTGTCTCAGGGCAGTTTCACTGGCTACCTTCAGTTTCCCCAGCCTTGAGCTGTGACAGTTCACGTGAGGTGTTGCCCACCGGGGAAGATCGTTAAGAGATTCAGCACCCAGCTTTTTTTTTTATTAAGTTCTGGTCCCATTAGCACCTTTTGCCTGCCACATCCCCAAATTCCAGATTCCCAGAAGGAAAGCAGGGGTTCAGCATAAACCACACTGTATGTGCAGTCTCGACATAGTGAGCCACTCAGATCACTTAGGATGGCAGGAATTATCCCGAAAGCCGGATTCCCAGATGCAGGTCTCTCTAAGGTCACGCTGTCCTACACAGTGCGTAGCGTGGGATATAATCTGAGACATGTGCAAGAGGCTGAAGGGAGATAGTCGGGTGGTGGCACATTTGTTCACTTACTAAACAGTACCAAGCACTTATGTGTCAGCACATGCAAAAGCTGGGGCTGCTAAATATGAAAGAAAAGGGATGCAGGCTGGTTCTTGTGCAGCTTATATATACATCAATGAAGCCAACAGAAAAGAAGCTCCTGAGGAGTCAAATAAACATCTGAGGAAGATAGGTCAGTGTGGTGGAGAAAGTAGGGAAGTCCTGATGTAGATAAGAAGAGAAGGGGCACACTGACAGAGTGGCATTTAAGTGGAATAGAAAAGGGAAGTTCTCTAAAGAAATGTCACAAGTGGGTGAGTTTAAGAAACAGACTGATTTTCTCACAGTTTTTAGGAGGTCGGAAGTCCAAATTCAGGCCTGAGACTCTAGGGGGAGGTTTTCTTTCTCCATTGGCTGTGGGGGAAGTTCCTTATTTCATGTGCTCTTCATGTGATAATGTTGTTGTTAAGTGCCATTGAGTAACTTCCTACTCAGAGTCATAGCAACTAATAGGAAACTCGTATAAAATTTCCAAGGAGCAGTTGGTGGGTTTGAACCACCAACCTTGTGTTTAGCAGTCCAGTGCTTATCTTACAGCGCCATACCAGGACATGCATGTTTTTGTTAAGTGATGATGAGTTGGTTCCCACTCATAGCAACACTGTGTAGGGTTTTCGAGGAGCTACTGGTAGATTTGAACTGCTGACCTTGCAGTTAGCAGTCCAATGCTTATTCTACAGTGGTACACCAGGACTCCAGACATGTGGCATTGCATCTGTTTATTTCCCCATCTCTGCTTACTGCTTTAAGTTTAATCTGATCTTTCTATATGTCAAAGGTGATTGCCTTAAACACATGCTACAATGATAAAGCCTTTCAACATAACAAAGAAAATCCGTTCCCAAATGTGTTTACAACCATAGCTGTTGTTTTTGTTGAGTACCATCGAGTTGGTTCTGATCCATAGCGACCCTGTATATGGTTTCCAAGGAGTGGCTGGTGAGTTTGAACTGCCGACCTTGCTGTTCAAACTGACTTTGCAGTCCAGTGCATTAACCCACAGTGCCACACCTAGACTCCAGCCATAGCTGTAGGGGTTAGGATTTATAACACATATTTTAGAGGGACATTAATCAACTCATAACAAAGTGTAATGTAGGCATTAACTATTGTGTTAATGGTGCGTGAGGGAGGGGGATGAGGGGTGAATACTCCCTGTAGCGATGTCATCATTGATTTTTTAAGTTGGTGGTGTCTATAGGGTGTGGAACTGTAGGTTCAGCACTGGACCGTGAACCAAAAGGTCGGCAGTTGAAACTCACCAACTGTTCCTTGGAAACCCTATACCCTATATAGGGTTATTATGAGTCAGAATTGACTGGATGGTACTTCACAACAGCGTATGGTGCCGGAAGGTGAGACTTCAGATCTCAGCAATTGTAGGCAGGGATGTTACTTCCTGAGGCTGGGAATACTGCGATAAGAGCAGGCTTTGGGAAGAAAGTGGTGATCTCATTTTGAATACGTTTAATCTGTATTTCTTCAGATGACAAGTGAGGATATTTGAACTGAAGGTGCTATATTAGTTTTCTAGGACTTCTGTAAGGAACTAAGTACCTCAAACTGCTTAAATAACAGAAATTAAAACATACCCCCCCATTTGTCTGTCACAGTTCTGGAGGCAGAAGTCCAACATGAAGGTGTCAGTAATGGTCAGGAAGCATGGATGGTCAGGGAGTGGATGGTTTGTCAGCAGTAAGAGAGAGGGAGGATCCCTGTGGGGCACGTTGGGACGTTAATAACTTGAAGGCATGAGGTAAGGTTGTTAGCCTGTCTCACACAGATGTTCAGAATAATAGTGGTTTATCAGTGCCCTGCTTATGGTTAAACTGTGGATCTATACTAGCCTTGCAGAGGAAAGGCTGAGCAGCCAAGGAGGACAAACTGTCTAAGAGGCTAAAGCCAAGACAGGAAGTATGGTGGAGCCTCAGGAATTTAGGAATCTACTGGTGAATTACAATACTGACTCCTGGGATTATAATGGAAGGGGTATGTGTGTGTATGTTTCCTCATCTGTAAATGTTCTGGCTTTGAGTGAGAGAATTCTCTAGCCTCCCTGAAAATTAGGTGTATGTGCACACGTGTGGTGTCTTTGTGTGTATGTTATATGTGCTTGTTATGTGTGTACCTCTGTGTTAGTAAGTACCTGAATATGTACATTATATGCCTATGCATGAATGTATCTGTGTGCTCCTGTTCATGTCTATGTGTCTGAGTTTGTGCGCATCCGGGTGTGTGTCTATGTGTGTGCTGTGCCTGCGCATGTATGTATCTGTGTTTTTTGTGTGTTTGTACACACATTTCTCTTTGTATGTGGTTGTTCACACGAAGCTTGCGTGTGTGCACAGTGGACTGACCAGGCATGGGCTCTCACAGCTCCTCTTTTTCCCAGTGTTTCCTGCTCATGACCCAGCCTGGCTCCAAGAGGAGAACACAGAAGTGATGGCTCCCGGGTTGCTGACCGCCTGTTCACAGGTAAGTAAGAAATATTTTGCGCCAAAAGGCTATTGCTCTGCCCAGGGCTGATCTCTAGGTTTCCAGGTGTCTGGCCTCTTGTAATTGGTGTGGGTGTAGGGCAGCTCAGGCAAGATCCCATTTCCTTATTCAGACCTTTCCCAGGTTGTCCAGTACCATGTTCTGCTGAGCACTGGGAGGGGAAACAAAGCTAGGCTATCATCTTTCCATGTTTCAAGTCTTTATGGCCTCCCTGCATAAGCACTTCCAACTACTAACCAAATATTTCTTCTGCCTCAGCGTGCTCAGTTCTGTTGGATAGTAGAGCCAGAGAGGAATACAGCTGCGGGGGGGTTTTGGCCAGTTGTATGTGGACAGGTTCTTTAATGAAACAGCAATCTTTTAAGGCCATGCCTCTGGATGTTACCACTCAAGGAGTGCAGACTAGATAGCGTAGAGCTCTGGTTCTTAGGGCTGAGCCATGGGGCAAGTTTTGGAAGACCTCAGCTCAGTTGGAAAACCCTTTGCACGGTGTTTCCCTTACCCAGTCCACTGTTCTCTTGCGACGTGGTGGTGGTGGTGGTGGTCCCTGATTGAGCTGGGTTGCGTATTATGTTTTAGGAACCAGTAACTTTTGAGGATGTGGCCGTGGTGTTTACTCAAGAAGAATGGGTGGTTTTGGACTCTGCCCAGAGAAGGCTGTATAGAGAAGTGATGCTGGAGAACTGCAGGAACCTGGCTGCAGTGGGTAAGGCTGTCCCCCTCATCTGCATACCCATGGAATCCTGGAATTGTACTGTTAGGGAAATAGGGGAAGACATAAACTTTTGCCCTTTTGAAGTTTATAGGCTTGTGGTGTCTCAATGGGAATGAAGACCCATCTATTATTCTGCTTTTTCCTGGTTAAATGCTTCCTGGCTTTTCAAGTGTGTTCCTGAGCTTGGGCTTTGTTTTCTGGGACTAGAGAGCATCAGTATCCTCTGGGACCCAATGGGAGCACTGGCTCATTAGTGAGCGCGTTTGACTGTATTTATCTGAATTCAGGCATGCTCATTTTGCTGCTGTCATTCTCAGAAGCCCTAGAAACTCTAGAATATTGGCCCTAGTTTTATGGAAGGGCATAGACCTTACACACTGATGTCTTTTCCGATGAGCAGGATGTCAGCTCTTCAAATCTAGTGTAATTTCCCTGTGGGGGCAAAGAGAAGAGCTGTGGACCTCTGAGAAAGGACTCTTCCAAGAAATGTATCCAGGTGAACACCAGGCAGGTGAGAATCACAATGGAGAGACTCTTTAGTTTATAAAGGGAATGTATGGAAATGGTTGATCAAGGAAATCCTTGAATAATGTTCTTCACTGAGAAAACTGGGCTGTTTGGTATGAACTTCCTTAGAAATTCTATCATTGTTCACAATGCTTAAATCTGGTTTCTTAGAAAAGTCTGTCCTACTTCCTGTTTAAGGAGCTCTGGTAGCATAGTGGTAATGAGTCAGGCTGCTAACCACAAGGTCAGCTAGTTCGAAACTACCAGGGGTTCCGCAGGAGAAAGATGAGACTGTCTGCTTCCACAATGATTTACAGCCTTGGAAACCCGGTACAGGGTCACTGTCGACTCCATGGCACACTGCCATCACTGCCGCTTTCTGTTTATAGTTAGTATTTCCATGTGTATGTTTTATCTGCTTTCTATATGCATGTTCTCACTAATTCCTTCTCTCAGTACCAGTTTCAGTCTTTGTAATATCCCTTTATGCATTTGTAAGTTCTTCCTATATTTAGGATCAGTATTTGAAAAAAAACTCCACATATGCTTTGTTTAATTTTTTGGTTAGTTTGACCCCACAGGTCCCTTCTATATGCACATAATTTTTTCACTCTAATTTATTTCAGAACCTCAGCTTTGGTGCCAAAAGTCAATTCCTAACCAAGATATTTTTGGGACAATCCCATCAATTGGCATGAAAATGGTAAGGTTCACAGAGATTATTGTTTGTAGGAAAAAATCTGGGGTTTCTGTCAATATAAGAACCAAGAGAGAGATTTAAGACAAGTGGTACTTATCCAAAAAATGTGATTTCATGGGAGAGAATTTGTGAATAAGTTTGAGAAATTTGAGGCTGCTCAAGGAAAAGATAGGACCATGAGAGGCAGTAGCATACAGGCTTTTTATTAGGTGACACTGGACAGGGTTTCATGAGAGAGGAAGTACATCCCAGAAGGAAATCTTTCAGAGACAGTCCCAGACCATTCAGAAGGGGAAAAGAGCTAGGGAACTAACTCCTAGTGGAGAGGGAACTTTAGGGTCTAGGTGATATAACTCAACAGCAAGGTGGGGAGTGGAGAGTGTCTGGGTCAGAGAGCTCTGAAGGGCAGCAGTAGTTTGGAGTCTTTTATAACTACAGTGTTTGATCTCTGGTTAGTAGATGTTTGGTACAATATGCAGAGTATATAAAGTAGGTAAGGAGCCCTGGTGGCACAGTGGTTAAATGCTTGGTGGCTTACCAAAAGGTTGGTAGTTCAAATCCACCAGCTGCTCTCTGGAAGAAAGATTTGACACTGCTTTTGAAACCTTATTGGGAAGTTCTATTCTGTCTTATATAGAATCCCTCTGAGTCAATATTGATTAGATGACAATATAGATATTTTTTGTCAAATAGATAGGTTCTATCTAAATGTCTGAAATATAGTTGGACTATAAAGCAAGTGGATGTGTCAGAGTGACTTTGGCACCAGTGGGCTACAGGGTAATGCTCCAAGCGTGCTGTGAAGAAAAATATGGGGATAATTTTACACTAATACACAGGGGAGATCGGGCCCATTTATATAGCAGAATGTCATTAATTGGGGGAAAATTTAAACCTAGACTAGATCAAGACTTGTGCATTCTGAATTCCTACAAGTAACCATTTTTGTATAGGTTTCTCTTACACAAAATTTACATTGGGAGGAAATTAATGTAATTTCTTAATCTACAGGATCAACCTCAGCTTGGAACAAAACTCTACAAATGTAATGAATTTGAGAAACCTTTTAACAACATCAAACCACTTTTTCGGTATCAGGTAATTCATACTGGCGAGGATCCTTATGAATGTAAAGAAAGTGGACAGTCCTTCCAGAACTCTCACCTGATCATTCCTGAGAAAATTTGTAATGTTGATAAAACCTACGAATGTAATAAATGTGAGAAATCCTTCAGATATAACTCTGACCTTACTAGGCATGAGAAAACTCATACTTCAGAGAAGTACTTTGAATGTCAAGAGTGTAAGAAAGCCTTCAAGTATTCTTCAAATCTCCGGCGACACATGAGAATTCATACTGGAGAGAAACCCTTTGGATGTAATCAGTGTGGGAAAACCTTCACAAGGAACTTTAACCTGATTTTGCACCAGAGAAACCATACAGGAGAGAAACCTTATGCATGTAAGGATTGTGGGAAAGCTTTTAATCAACCATCATCTCTTAGGAGTCACATGAGAACCCACACTGGAGAAAAACCCTTTGACTGTAGTCAGTGTGGAAAAGCGTTCAGGGAGCACTCATCACTGAAGACACATTTGCGGACTCACACCAGAGAGAAGCCTTATGAATGCAACCAGTGTGGGAAACCCTTCCGGACAAGCACTCACCTCAATGTGCACAAGAGAATACACACTGGGGAAAAACTTTATGAATGTGGTACTTGTGGTCAGGTCTTGAGTCGTCTCTCAACACTTAAGAGTCACATCCGTACTCACACTGGAGAGAAGCCTTTTGCATGTCAGGAATGTGGCCGAGCCTTTAGTGAGCCTTCATCCCTTAGGAAACACATGAGAACTCACACTGGCAAAAAGCCCTACACGTGTCAGGAGTGTGGTCGAGCCTTTGGCCAGTCTTCACACCTCATTGTACATGTGAGAACACACACTGCAGGGAAATCCTATGCATGCAATCAGTGTGAGAAAGCCTTCCGGCACAGCTCCTCACTTACTGTGCACAAACGGATTCACAGTGGGAGAGAAAACGTGAGGAATATTGGCTTAGCTTTATCAATATCTCACCCATATGGTGAGCCTTTTGCTAATTAGGTTCCACATTTTAAAAAATATAAACATTTGGATTATAAAAGTTCTGCTTAGTATTTTTAGCTTCATTACATGTTTTGATATATAATATTTATATTTTGGCTTATTTCTAAATATCTTAATTTCTAAGATCATTTGTTCTTTCTCATGAAATTATTTAGAATTAGAATTTTAAATAACAAAATATAGGTATATTTTTACTGAGGCATAATTAACTTACAGTAAAATATAAAACCTTAAGTGTACAGTTGTATGCACTTGTCAGATAGATGTACACATATGTGTAACCAACACCCCACTCAAGATGCAGAGCATTTCTGTCATTCCGCAGAGTTTTCTGTATGTGTATTTTAGCTGCCATTTTGTTATTAGTTTCTTATTTAAATACATTTGAGCAGAGTGTGTGGTCTTTATGCTATTGAATCTTAGATACTTATTGAAAAAAATTTTTTTTTCTCTGGTGTGGCATATACTGCTAGTTGCATCCCCAGATTGCCCCTTCTTTCTTATAAAAGTATCTGGCTTTTTTGCTTCGGTTGATAATGTGCACTATTTAAAAACCTTCACTTTCCAGCCCTCTCACAACCAGAAGAGGCCATGGCCCCCAGTGGTGGTCAGTATGAGAAGCCACTGACTTTGACTTACAAGAATGCTGTAGGGGAGGAGTGATTTCATTTAGCTTGATCCCAGATGTCTTGTCTTTTATAACAATAGATAAAATGTCCCAAGTGAGAGGAGGCTCCCTGTGATCATGAGGGTGAAAGTCACAGGCTAAAGACAGAGTGCCCAAATGTCACAATGATCCGGGTTCTCCAGTGGTTTTATTGTGTATGTGGGTGTACCAGCCCTGGGCTATTTATGTGGGGGCTTCAAACATTTTGTTGAAAAAATGGAATTGAAAGATGATGGAATTTTTCACAAAGTTTTTGAAGCTCCCTTCATATTTCTGGTTGTCTCATTAACATGGGGCAAAAACAACACTTCTGTCAGAATGCACTTTTTTTTTTTTTTGGGTAGTGGTGGTGATGGGCAGGGGATGTTATTACAGCTGAATGCACTCCACAACTGATTTACTTAGTATATAATCAGTTCTTATCAGTGCTTCACGTGTGGTTGAAATCAGTATATATTTTCTATATACATGTGTTAGATGAAGCATGCTATCCATGTTTAACAATCTACATATTTATAAATATTGGTCTCCAATCTATCATTTACTGGGAGAGATATGTTAATTTATACTACTATAATTATGATTAATTGAATATCATTGAAGGGATACTCTTGACATTTTATACATTTCCAGACAATTGTTACTTTTATCCTTATAAAAAGTGACCATCTTTCTCCCTGTTATCATTAGGTGCCATCAGGTCGGTTCTGAATCAGCAACCCTGTGCACAATAGAATGAAACACTGCCCGGTCCTGCACCATCCTGACAATTGTTACACTTGAGCCCATTGCTGTTGTCACATTGTCTTCCTCTATCTCTCTGACCCTCCACTTTACCAAGCTCTTCTCCAAGGGTGGTCCCTCCTGATAATATGTCCAAAGTATGAGATACGATGTCTGGCCATCATGGCTTCCAAGGAGCATCTGGCTGTATTTGTTCCAACACAGATTTGTTTGTTCTTCTGGTAGTCCGTGGTACTTTGAGTATTCTTGAGTACCACAACTCAAATGTATCGTTTCTTCTACGGTCTTCCTTATTCACTGTCCAACTTTCACATGTATGTTAAACTACTGAAAATACCAGGGCTTCAGTCAGGTGCACCTTAGTCCTCAAACTCAAATCTTTGCTCTTGAACACGTTAAAGAGGTCTCGTGCAGCAGATGGCTTCATGCAACATGACATTGGATTTTTTGAATGCTGCTTCCTTGAGTGTTGTTTGTGGATCCGAGCAAAATGAAGTCTCTGATAACTTCAATCGCTTCTCCATTTATCATGATGTTATTTGTTAGGCAACCTTGCTAGTATTTAAAATGATGGCAGAGCTTCCAGCAGCCCAGCAACACACAAGCCACTACAGTGTGACAAACTGATAGTTGAGTGGTGGATCATTTTCTCTAGCAATGAATATTTAACCATTTGTCACAAGTATTTATTTAGATAGTCTTGTGCTTGTAGGATAAGCACTGAACTGTTAACTACAGGATCAGTGGTTCAAACCTTCCAGCCGCTCCTCAGAAACCCTATACAGGGTTGCTATGAGTTGGAAATGACTCGATGGACTTAGCAACAACATTAATGGATAAAGACCCCCTAATGATGCTATAGAATAAGTACTGGACTGTGAACCAGCAGCTTGTCATTTTGAGCCTGTCAGCCACTCCGTGGGAGAAAGATGAGGCTGTTTGCTCCTGGAAAGGTTTGCAATCTCAGAAACCCCCTCAAGGTTAGTTATCAGTCAATTGATTCAATGGCAGTTTTGTTTTTTTTAAAAGGATCCCTGATGGTTAACTAAAAGGTCAGTGGTTTGAACTGACCAGCTGCTTTGCAATAGAAAATGGTGGCAATGTGTTTATACCGAATAGAAACCTTATGGGGGTGGTTCTACTCTATTCTGTAGGGTCACTAGGAGTTGGAATTGACTTGACAGCAGTGGATTTTATTTTGTTTTTGGTTTATTAATTGATAGTTGAATTTTAATTTTGGTGTTGCCAAAGGATATTGAACATACGAGGGATCTTCAAAAAGTTTGTGGAAAATTCCATTATCTTTTAATTCCATTTTTCCATGAACTTTTTGAAATATCTTCATATTGTGGTCTGCCATAGAACAAATAAATCAGCCTTAGAAGAAAATACAACCAGAATGCTTCCTAAAAGTGAGGATGGTAGAACTTGTTTACTTTGCACATTTTACTAGAAAAGGATCTCTTATTTGATTAAATAGAGGGTCAAAGCAAGGGAAGCCCTCACTGAGGGATGCCACAAAAATGAACGTAAACACACCAATCACCATGCAAATGATGCAGGCCCGGACAACGTTTGTTCTGTTTATACACATGTAAGGTCTCCATGAGTCAGAGCCACTCGATGGCCACTAACAGTTGATAAATAGGAGACCCCGTCTTCAGCTTTGCATCTTTTGACTTATTTACTTCTCATGATGACACCTTGAGATAGTTGTTTTCAATATACACATGGAGCCTGTTGGGGTAAGTTTCCCAGGTCACTCAGTTAGTAAGTAGAGTCAGGCTGCAAGGTCTATTGGGCTACTCACTATTCTTATTTGCTCCCACAGGATTCTTTTTTCTTTGTGTTTACTTTTTATATTGATGTGTAACTTACACAGCAGTGCATGAATCTCAGTGTACAACCTTTATGCATGTCCACATCCATTTATCCACCTTGTAGATCAAGGAGCGCTGGTAGCATAGTGGTTACGAATCAGGCTGCTAACTTCAAGGTTGGCAGTTTGAAACTACCAGCTGTTCCGCTGGAGAAAGATGAGGCTTTCTGCTCCAGTAAAGATTTACAGCCTCGGAAACCCTGTGCAGGGTCACTATGAGTTGGAACCGAGTCCCTGGTACTTAACAACAACAACAACAGATCAAGATGTAAAATCCTTAGGGATTCCTTTGATTTTTCTCCCATGAATAACCTCCCTAGAGGTAAGCACTATTCTGACTTTTATCACATAGATAATTTTTCTGTTCATAAAAAGTAACTTTACAATGTGGCCTCTTGTGTCAACCCCCACCTCCACTTATTATAGTGTCTGAACCCTGATGTGCATGCAACTGGGATAAGCATTGAACTAGTAACCACAGCATTGGCAGTTCAAACTCACCAGTTGCTCTTGGAAACCCTATAGAGGGTCACTATGAATTGAACTAACTTGATGGCACACACCGACAGCAATATAATGTCTATGAAATTTATCAATATTGTATCTATAAGTTCATTTTTTATTGCAGTATAGTATTCCATTGTCAGACTATACCATTGTTAAGTGCCAACTCATAGCAACCCTGTATAAGGTTTTCGAGGAGCGGCTGGTGAGCTTGAACCGCCAACCTTGCAGTTCAAACTGACCTTGCAGTCCAGTGCATTAACCCTCAGCTCCACACCAGGACTCCAAATATACTATAGCTAAAATGTTCTTGTGCAGGTCTTATTGTGGACCAATGTGCTCATTTCTCTTGTGTGTAAATTTAGGATTGGAATTGCTGGGTCATAGGGTAAGTTTTAGTTTTACTAGGTTTGCCAATGGTCTGTCAATTTTGTTAATCCTGTCAAAGAACCAGCTAGTTGTCCTGTTGATTCGTTCTATAGTTTTTTTTTTTTCTATCTCATTTATTTCTGCTCTATATTATTTCTTTTGTTAAGGTGGCTGTAGGTTCCCTCTGTTGGTCTGTTTCTAAATGTTGTTGATGCTGTGTTAATATGTTAATTTTGGTTCTTTCTTCTTTTTGGATGTGTGC